CCTGCTCCCGCCTCAGCGCTGGCGCCACCGGCCCCGCCGGGCTTCGGCCAAAACGAGCTCGTCTATTACACACCCGGGGGCTCAGTGCAAAGCGAAGGGGTTTGGGCCAAAGCGGCCGCCGCAGCGGTGACTGTGCCCTCAGGTAACGCCCCGACACCCACGGTGAGAGGCTGCTGCACCCGGGCACCCCGAGGGGCTCCCAGGGGCACGCCGGTCACTGGTGAGCCGGGACGCCCCGCTGGTTGTAGACCCAGGAGACACCCCCCGCTCTAGGGCAGGAGACCCCCGTCTTGCTGGTGATGGGGGCTGCGCCACCCTCCGAGGAGACAGAGAGGGAGGTGGTTGGGGGGCCCTGAGGGTGAAGGCTGAGTGCTCCACCTGGTTCTGGAAGGCCATGGGCTGCAGGAAGATGTTCTTGAAGGAGGTGGAGGCGGTGCCACCAGTCTGGATGGGAAATGGGCTCTGGGAGGGTAAGGCTGAAGAGGGGGATGCTGTATTCCCCCACCAAGCAGGGAGGAGATCTGCAGTGTGGCCCTGGCTTCGTCCGTCTGGCAGGGCATGAAGGGCACCTCCATGCTCACCTCCGAGCCTCCCGGGCTGGAGGAAGCTATGCCGATGGTTTTCTTTGTCAGGAAGTCAGCACAGTTGGGTCTGCACAGGGGAGAGAAGATACCATGGTGTGTGCAGGTCACAAAAGCAGAGCCAGCACCTCGGGAAGAAACTGAGGGTCCCCACCGTCATGTTGGCCAGGGTCCCTCTCCCTTGCCTGTCACCGCACCTGACCCCACCACCCCATGACTGTGAGGAATGGCCATCAGGACTGTCCAAATGTGACCAGCAGGGACAACTCTGCACCCAAGCTCTAGGAGACCTTAAACCCCAGCTCTGACCACATAAGTCCAGGCACCATGGGACCTGCAAGAGCAGGGAACATCTGCAAGTGAAGACAGGCCAGCTGGGGACAAGCCCAGCACTGGTGGGCAGACCTACAGGCTCACATGGCCACCCCAGCTCTGCCAGGCCAAGCTAGAGGGGCAGGGTCCCTTCTCAGAGTGGGCTGATGCTGGCCAGATGAGCTGCCTCCCAGCAAGAGCCCAGGGCAGGCAGGGTCACCTGGAGGAGGTAGTCGGCTTCTGCTGGGCGTTAAATGATAACATTATTTTGGTGGTGATGGTCTGACTAGAGCCCAGTGTGGTGCAGAAGGAGTTGGGGCTTCTCCAGCCCACTCACTGTGGCATTCAGATGCAGATTGTAGGAGAAAGAGCCCAAGTCGCTGCTCCAGAGTACCAGGCACCCGGTACTCTCACCCACTTTCAGGGACTGGTACTCAAGATCAACCTGGGAGGAACAAAAGGAAAAGCCACTGGGTCAGGCAGAGATGGGGAAGGCAGACCTGCAATGAGGGTAATTGTTCCCTGTTGTGCTCCAGCAATGCTGGAAGGCAGCCCAGCACCCTCCCTCACTCCAGCTCCCTCTCTCTGGGGCAGGGCCTTGCTGCACTTGGGGGACTTTTCCCAATAGCTGGGAGCCCTCCAGAACTATACCAGAAGCTTCCCACCCTAAATGCCCCTCTATTCCCCCAGGGCACAAAACACCTATGGATCCAGGCTGAAGACACCATGCCAGGGGGATGAGGCATGCCCTGCAGCCACTCTAAACTGAAAATACCCACCCTAAATACAGAGCCTGAGGCGCAAGGACCCGCCCCATGAGGCCTGGTGGGAGCATCTCACAAGGCGTGGCATGGCAGACCTCCACTAGGAATATTCTCTATGCTGCTTCCCCTCCATATTATTAGTGGGTGGGAGCTGTCACCCCTGGGAAGAAGCCCCAGATGGTTCATGCAGGGCATCACCCCTCAGGACTACCCACTCCCAGAAAGGCTGCAGGAGAGGAGAGCACGCTGCATGAGTTTTGCTCCTCCCTCTGACTGCGCAGGAACAGTGAACTGTGGGGGATCACTGATGTGGGGCACTTTGCAACCTATGGCAAACATCAGCGGGACGGGCGGAGGGTCGTCCACCCTGACGGTGGCAGACGCTCTCTGCCGAAGAGCAGCGGCCACTTCAACCATGCTGAGGGTCCTGAAGTGGCGGCCTAGGGAGCCACCATGTAGATAAGTACTCACTGGTAACCTTGTTGAGGAAGGTCACCTGAATCAGAGAAAAAAGGAGCTCATTCTGCACGTAAAAATATACCAGTGAAGTGCTAAGTCTTGGACAACAGGCCCAAGCCAGAGTTGACCTATAGATGAATCCTGTATATTTTGTAACTGATAACCATTGTGCTAGTAGGTATTATACTAGGTTATAAAAACCCACCTATTCTGATGTAAAAAGTGCTAAAGTGTTGAAAGTATTGAAGCCTGAACAACAGGCCCCGAGCTGAAGCTGCTTAGTATGTAGTCATTGGCAAAATATGTATGCTCATTAATGAAAGATGTAGCTTAGCTATCATATACTCATTACTGGTGATGAATGTAATGAAAATGTGTCTATCCTGAATGTATCTTTCTTCTTTGTGTAGGGGTAAGTTAACAAGGCTATGGAGCCAGCTGTCCGGGCTTGAGACCAGATGTGTGGCCTTGTTCTAAAAAGAACACACATAAATTAGATGAGCAGGGAAACTCCCTTAGCTTCTCCTTTGCACCCCAGCCAGGCTCTGGGGGAATCTAATGTGAGATTGAAACCAGATATTTCCACTTAAAACAAAATTCTGGCTTGCTGATGTTTGGTATATAAGGCTGGACACACTTGCAGAGACTTTGGATGCCTCAGCTATGTGGAAGCACCGTGCAGGATTTCCCACTCGCCGGGACAGGCTCTCCAAACCCTTGCTGTAACCAGGGCTGCCCAGTGCCTGCAGGTCTGGGTGATGGGAACGGGTGCAAGTGGGGATGGATCTTTCTTAATCACTGTTCCCTCTCTCTCTGGTGGTAATGATGTGATGCATTACCCTGTATTTTCCTATTTGTTTACTTTAAGTGCACTATTCTGTCTTTTCTTACTGTATGTTTTCTGTTACATTATTTAGTTATCCCCAGTAAAATATGCCTGCTCTTTTCACTCTGGTGTCTGAGTTTAATTGGTATCCTTAATCAGCAAAACAACCAGCTGTGCTGAAATCAGCACTAAGAGCACCCCGATCTCAGCACCCTACTTCCAGGAGTCGCCTCAAGCAGCCACCGAGGAAGAGTGCAAGCCTGGGGAAAGTATATGTGGTATTTCTACTTGATACTCTCCCGACTGCCCACTGCTTCCAGCTCACCAGTGTCCTGGCCCACCTGTGCTCAGCAGCCCCCAGTGAGACCCTCGCAGAGACTGACATGTGGCGGGGGGGTGTGGAGAGATGCCTGCTGTTCAGTACCCACCTAGGACACCTACAGTCCCACCAGCAGGCACAGGGAGGTGTGGAAACAGGCATGTATCTTCTCAGACAGCCAGCAGCTCCTTGGAAGGCCCCACAGCCCCGTGTCTGCACTTACCATTGCGTTAAAGACTCCTTCCTTGTAGGAGAGGAAGGTGCAGTCCTTCTTGGCAGAGCCTGGCACATCAAGGTGTTCCAGTCCCTGCAGCACAGAACTGCTTTCCAGGTTTTCTGGTTTGAGCATGTCCACCACCATGAGGAACCTGTGGGTGAGAAGGATGCAGGGAAGGCCAACAGGAAGGACTCCCACAGGACACCCACCATGGCAGGGTACAAACCAGCCCCTCTCCTCCTCAATGCCCCGGAGGGAGCCAGCTCTCATCCACCTGGGAGGAAACCCCTCAGGGATGGGTCTGTGTGGGCAGAATGTGGCTTGCGTGATCCCAGACTCCTAAGGCCAGAAATGGCCAAGGAGAGTGAAAAGCTTTCAGGAAGGATCTTCCAGGCAGTGGGTGAGACGGGGAGTCTAAACAATCTTAGATTGATGGTGCAAGGCCTGCGCAAAAACAAGGGGAGGCGTATGGGACTGTTCAAAAAAGACATACCAAGTACTGATAACGTTGCTAGGCGATTATCTCCTAGCCCAAAGAGAAGTCCCCCCATGTCTTTGAAGAACAGACAACCCCAAAACACTGGCCTGGAAGAAAGCCAGAGAACAACTGAGGCTGCGCAGAGCAACAGGATGAAAAGTTCATCAGCGAGGAAGAAGAGGTACTTCATCTTTACGACCCCTCCCCAGGAGATTGCGACCCCAGCCCGGAGCTTGCAGAGCTCATCGCACAGGCACAAGAGGAGGGGACCTGATTACCATGAGAAGCGAGGGGAGGCGGGGGTAGACTATGTATATGTATGGGCGTTCTATGAATATGCACTACTTTGTAACATATAAGCCGGACGGGAGCTGCAAACGATGCGCATGCTTGTGGTGGAGCGATCCCCCATGCGCCCAGCGCTGAATAAACATACCTACCTTATAACTCCAAAAGTTATAGAGTGATTTCTCCGCAAAACATCTTGGCACTCCAGATGGGACCTATCTCTGCTCGGCTGCCGGGACACTGCTGGAGGGTGGACGTCCTAGGTGCACCCCGAGCTCTTCTTGGAGGAACTCCGCTCCCAGCTGTCCACTGCGGGAGCAGACAAGGACCATCTGGTTCGCGGACAGAGGTATGTTTACAAGGGTAACGGGCTGCTGGTAAGACGCACAGAGACGTCTGGCGCACGGCTCAGTCCCGAGGGGGGGTATACCCATTTGGTTTTGGCTTTGGGAATCCGCGGGTAAGTAAGACCTTTTGGGGCAAACTACCGATGACTGGTATATAAGAGGCAGTTTGCATTTTGGGCAGGGTACTGGTAATTCCCGTCACCTGCAGGATCTTGCTTCAGGTCAGTGTATAGTGCACTAATGGTGGATATACTGGCTTTGAACTGACTGCTAATTGTTAATGGTTTATGATATATGTTACAAACGGATTTGGTGATTGTTTAAACTCGGTATATTTTGTGGTATGAGTGAAAAGTGTGATGGGCCCTTTAAGTGTCTGTTTGCCTGCGTGCCGTGAGTGAGAGCAGCCGCTGCTGTGTGTCTGGGTGTCTGTGTGTCTGTGTGCCTGCGTGCCTGCAGGGGCAGGGTGTGAGTGAGACACCGCCGCTGCTGTGTGAGTGAGAGGCAGCCTCTGCAAAACAAATGAGAAGTTTATGTCTGTTTAAATAATACACTGTCCTTGTCTGTCTTGTGAAAACATTGTATGAGCCGGGAATGGGAAAGTGAACCCCTTCTCTGTCGGTTTGGGTTAGATTTGGTTGGATTATTTGTGTAGAAGGAGTGAATGGTCGGCACGGGGAAATGATTTATACCTGCTAGAAGGATTGTACACAGCTCCTTCTCGGCAACTCGTAGCACCAGATTGGGTTCGTGGGAGAATCTCCTGCTTTCTCTGTGCTCCTATGTTCCTACCTTTCGTAATTTTCATCAAGCTTGGGTATTAGCAGAGTGCGTAGATTGTCGGTGTAAGTGGTATTATGAGTCTGATAAGAGGAGGTTGAGGTGTGCAGAGTGCTGTGAGAAGAAGCGGTGTCGTTAGACCTCTTGGTCGAAAGTCGGGAGTCGATAAATATTGTGTGGAAGAAGTCATAAGATACCGGAACTTTTGGAAGTGAAGGAGGAAGAGTGGGAGAAGGTTGAAAGACAGTGTAGAAACTACTATAAGTGGAGAGAAAGGATTTTGGGAAGAAGGAATAATAATGGGAAATAAGCAGGGAAAAACTGTAAAAGAAAAGCCCATTGGATTGCATACCCATGCACTGGAAAGATATAGCCGGGAGGGGAAGTACGGAAAGAAAGAAAATCCTGATTAAATATTGTAACCAGTGGTGGCCACTTTACAAACTAGAAGAAGCAGCTAAATGGCCACTAAATGGGACCTTAGACTATAACATGCTTTTGCAATTGTTATTTTTACAGAGGGAAGGGAAGTAGGATGAGGTGTCTTATGCAGACATGTTCTTTACCCTCCGAAATCACCCGGGGTGGCAGAGGGACTGTGCACTAGTTCCACCATAAGATCCTTTAGTGCTTGCCCTGGAAAGGATTATAAGGGAGCTACTAGCTACTATTTTTACAAACCTTTGAAATATAAACTGGGAAAGCAGTTAGGCATACACAAATTTCTGTATATGCTTTACTCCACAAAAGCACTCCTAGGAAGACACTAGAACAATTAGGAGCAACTATTACCTTTAACAATGGAGAGATTACTCTGGAGGTAAATAACCAAGAACTTATACAAATCATGAGCTTGTCCCTAACTAGTATCCCCACAGGAGGAGAAATCAGTGAGGAAATTATCAATCAAGTGTATCCCGGAGTGTGGGCCACTGACATGCCTGGAAGGGCAGAGTACCTCACCCGTAGGGGTAAAACTTAAGGAAGGACAACAACTGGTAAGAATTAAGCAATACCCTTTAAAAGGAAGATCGGGAAGGGATCCAGCCAGTTATAGAAAAAATTTTACAAATAGGATTAATAAATAGATCTCCACCCAGTGGTGGCAAACCCATACACTTTGTAAACAAAATTAACTCCTGAGCTAATCTGGTTTACTGTTGTAGACCTCAAGGATGCTTTCTTTTGCCTCTCTCTCCTCGAAGCCAGTCAGAAAATATTTGCATTTGGATGGGAAAATCCTAGGAGTGGGCGGAAGACCCAGTTAACCTGGACAGTGCTGCCACAAGGATTTAAAAACAGTCCCACTATATTCGGTAACCAGCTAGCAAGAGACCTTGAAACCCCAACCCCACCCGAAGAGGGAAGGCTGCTGCAGTATGTAGACGACATCCTAATTGCCACCAAGACAAAAGAAACCTGTATGGCTTGGACGGTAAGCCTTTTAAATTTT